TGAGGAAGGGTGAGACCTGTGGGGTATGGTGGGCGGACTGGCTCTGCTTTCCCTCTCCCAGGAGGTGCTCTTACCTCATGTATCTCACCAGTCCTCTGGGGCCCTCCTCCCACGCCCTGCCGTGCTGTTTAGCTAATGCTAACTGAGCACCTACTCTGTGTCTGACCTGCACCAAGTACTTCCCATATGTTACTCACGTCCCATCTGGACTACTGCATTAGCTCTCTGTCTCCTGGTCTAGCTTTCCTCCAATGGGCTTTTCACACAGCAACCAGAAAAAGCTTTTTAAAAGATAGCTCCCCTGTTTAAAATCTTGCAGTGGGTAACCCCCACCCCCCAACTCTAACTTTCTGTGTGGACTCATCTCCCTCCACTAACCCCTGACTGCTTCCTGAGTCAGACACTTAGCACGGGTCGTCCTTCTGCCTGAAACCGTTCTCCCTCTCCTTCCTTTTCTTCCCCCCATAGCTCCTCTTCTGTCTGTCTGCTTCTTAAAGTGATCTTTTCCGGATATTCTTTCCAAATTGGGTCCCTACCCTGCCCTGGTTTTCCCCGTCTCGTGGCCCTCGGCTCGATTTCTCATCACAGCTTGTACTGATGAGCGCGGAAGGGTGTGTTTGCTAGTTGGCAGGCACCACAGGCTACGTTGTGCTGTGGTAACAAACATTCCCCAAATCCAAGTGGCCTAAAGCATCATTTAAAAAAAGCAGAAGAAACAAACAAACAAACCAATTGCCATGGAGTCGATGCCGACTCATGGCGACAGCATGTGCTGCAGAGTAGACCTGCCCTCCGTAGAGTTTTCTAGGCTGGGACCTTTCTGAGCAGGTTGCCAGGCTTTTCTTCCAAGGAGCCTCTGGGTGGGTTCAAACCGCCAAACTTTCCGTTACAGTTGAGCGCTTCACTGTCTGTGCCACCCAAGGAGTCCACCAAAGCATCACGTGGTTGTTGGGTGCTGTCGAGTGGATTCCGGCTTAAACTGACCCCATATGACGGAACAGAACTGCCCCACAGGGTTTTCTAGGCTGTAATCTTTCTAGGAACAGAACATCAGGGCTTTCTCCCGTGGAGCCACTGAGTGGGTTTAAACCACCAACCTTTCGGTCAACAGTTTGTGTCACCCAGGGACTCCATTAAAGCCTCATAGGTTTGCATAATTCTTGTTCACACTGCATGTCCATCACGAGCCTTCAGCGGGGTTTCTGCTCATCATAGTGAGTTAAGGACCTAAGCACATGGGACTGTTCCCATCCTGACCATTGGCAGCTGCTGTGCCAGACGGGAGAGAGAGCTCTGGACAGCCTTGCCTTGGCAATGAAATGCTATAAGCAGAAGTAGCCATGCAGCTCCCCGTCCCGGGGGCATACAGCACCCAGATGTCCACACTGAGTTTACTACCTGACTTCTGCTCTCAGAGGCTCCCAGGCCAGGCCTGGCTTTTGCATTCTACCCCGCTCCTACCTTCTCAGTAACCTGCTGCAGCTCTTCTCTCTCAACCCCATCATTGCCATCAGCGCTTAAAGTTGTTCCTGCTTTAAAAAGAAACAAGATTCCCTTGACCTGTGTCCACCTCCCGCCTCTTCCCAGACCCTTTCCTCCCCTTCAGGGGTCAACTTCTGGGAACAATTGTCTAAACTCTCCATTTCTGTGCTCCCACTTATTTCTTACCCCTCAGGTCTCAGGAAGTTTCCTCTAAGGCAATGATTTTCAACCTCGGCTGCACATTTAAAAACGCCCATACCTGACAAGGTCATGGAAGCTCCATAGACACATCCAAACTCCCCGAGGGACCGAATTACTGGGCTGAGAGCTCTGGGGACCATGGTCTCAGGGAACATCTAGCTCAAGTGTCATAACATTGTTTAGCTCAATTGTCATAACACTGTTTATAAAGGAAATGTTCTACATTCTACTTTGGTGAGTAGCGTCTGGGGTCTTAAAAGCCTGTGAGCAGCCATCTAAGATACTCCACTGGTGTCACCCCGTCTGCAGCAAGGGAGAATGAAGAGAACCAACGACACAAGGGAACGATTAGTCCAAATGACTGATGGATCACAACTACCATAGCCTCCACCAGACTGAGTCCAGCACAACCAGATGGTGCCTGGTTACTACCAACAACTGCTCTGACAGGGATCACAATAGAGGGTCCCGGACAGAGCTGGAGAAAAATGTAGAACAAAAATATAACTCACACAAAAAAAAAAAGACCAGACTTACTGGTCTGGCAGAGACTGGAGAAACCCCAAGAGTATGGCCCACGAACACCTTTATAGCTCAGTAATGAAGTCACTCCCGAGGTTCACCCTCCAGCCAAAGATTATTCAGGCCCATAAAACAAAACGATAATAAGGGGCACACCAGCCCAGGGGCAAGGACGAGAAGGCGGGAGGGGACAGGAAAGCTGGTAATGGGGAACTCAGGGTCAAGAAGGGGAGTGTTGACACGTCATGGAGTTGGCAACCAATGTCACAAAACGATATGCATTTTAATTGTTTAATGTTTGCTCTATAAACTTTCATCTAAAGTACAATAAAAAATAAAGTGTAAAAAATAAAAAAACGCACACACCCAGGTTCCAACCCCTGGGCTTGTGATTTCATTGATCTGGGGTGGGATTCAGTCATCGAGATTCTCAGGAGCTTCTTGTCGTTGTTGTTAGGTGCCGTGGAGTTGTTCAACAGAACGAAACACTGGTCGATCCTGCACCATCCTCACAATCATTGCTATGTTTGAGCCCATTGTTGCAGCGACTGTGTCAGTCCATCTCGTTGAGCATCTTTCTCTTTTTCGCTGACCCTCTGCTTTACCAAGCACAATGTCCTCAGGAACTGGTCTCCGCTGATAAAATTTCCAGAGTATGTGAGACAAGTCTTGTCATCCTCACTTCTAAGGAGCGTTCAGGCTGTACTTCTTCCGAGACAGATTTGGTTGTAGGTGCTCCTAATGGGCAGCCAGAGTTGAGAACCACTCTTTCAAGGTCCTGTGGCCTATGGGTCTCTTGGCCCAATGGACATGTTTCTGTCCTCCTATTCCTTGACCTCTAGCAGTACCTGGTACAGTGGACCATCCCTCCTTCTTGAACCCTGATGGCCTCTTGCCTTCTGCACACCACACGCCTCTCTGAGCACTCCTCCTCTGGCTCTTCTGCAGGCTCATTCTCCTATAAAGCCACCGAGTGTTGCTGCTTCTCAAGGTTCATCCTAGGCCCTCTCCTCATCTCCCTGCATGCTCTGGCCCTAGGGGAGCTCGATAAAGACCACAGCTCCCGTTCTCATCTGTCATCTCTAACCACATGCCACCTCACCTCTCGGAGTGGGTCCTCACTACAGCCATGTGAGGGTTAAGGATAAGAAAATGGGGGCCCCGAGAGGTGAGGTCATCTGCCCAAGATCACACAGCTGGCTGGCAGTTCCTTGGACTGTAAGCTTCAGTGTCTCCAATGCTGAGCTTATTTTGAGCCCCCAGTGAACACTGGCTGCATGGCAGAGTGGGGAATTGAACTCATTTTGTCGGGGAATGCAACATCTAACTTGACGCAGAGCCTGGTGTAGGTTGCTGTGTCCCTGCCAGCTGGACGGCCTCAGGAGGTCTGATTACTCTGAGGTCCTGCTGGTAGAAAGGGTTCGTGTCTGTTCCTGGCTGGCCTCTGTGGGTCCGGCCTGGGTTCCCTCTGTCAGAGGCAGCTCTGGTGGGGTCTCCAGGGATGTTCCCAGGCCAGCAGCTCCCTGGCTGCTCTCTCCCAGCCAGCACAGCCACCTCTCTCAGGTATCCATGTTCCGGAGAAAGCCCCACCCTAGCGAAGATGTCAGTTGAGTTTTCTGGATCTGCCCCGGGCCCAGGGAAAGCTTTTACTCAGGAGCTGGAACAGGCAGATGGCAAAGTGCTTTTCCCTGTGGTCTCCCAGAGCCTGCCATGTCTCTCGTGAGAGCCCCCAGTAAACACCCTGGCTGGGAGGCAGGGGCTGTCTCCCTTGGGTCATGTCCACCTACTCTGTCTTCTTGATCCTTACAACTGCGCTTGGACCGGGAGGCGGCGATGTCTCATTTTTTCAGTTGAGGCCACTGAGGCTCAGAGAGATGCAGTGTCATATCTAAGACCACACAGCCAGAGAGGGCAGAGCTGGGAGTGAAGCATGCTGTCTTCATGCCCCCACTGTCAAACTCCTTGTGTGTAGTGTCATACATGGGGCCAAGTATCTTGTCCCCTTTTCAGAGTGCTAGAAAGATCTTGTATTGCCTGATATCGACTCCTGATAATAATAATAATAAAAAAAAAAAAACCTGTTGCCATCGAGTTAATTCTGACTCAGCGACCCTGTAGGACAGAGCAGAACTGCCCTGTATGGTCTCCAAGGAGCACCTGGTAGATCTGAACTGCCAACCTTTTGGTTAGCAGTCATAGCTCTTAACCACTACGCCACAGGTTTCCTGCTAGCCTGTGCTTAAGTATCACTTGCTTTTGTAAATGGATCCTGATTTTGAAATACATAACAAATGTTTATTCAAGACGTCTGTGGCCAGTCATTGTTGTTAAAACTGGATTTTGCTGAGTGAGCTTTCTGAAAGCAGGATATGCCTGCGCAGTGGCTCGGCCTCGGTAGTCCTGCAGGACCGTGGCAGTCCTTGTGCTTTAGAGCACAAGCTTCAGAATTGCACTGGAGTTAGAATTCTGGTTCTGTCACTCACTAGCTGTGGTTAAGGACAAAGCCACTGGGTTGCGTTCCTGCTTCCTTTTCTTGCTGTGTGGCCTTGGATAAGTTATTTAACCTCTCTGAACCTCGAGGTCCTCAACTTTGAAAGAGATAGGGCTAATTATTGAACCTACCTACAGACGAGGGTTAAACAGGATAGTGCATGTAAAGAATTTGGTAACGTGTATGTGGTAAGTGTCCAGTAAGTGGTTAATCATTGTCATGGTTAACATTAACCCTCTGAGAGGTCCTTCAGGCATTCACGGGATGTTCATTCTCTCTCTCTCCCTCTTCTGCCCCCTTGCAGGTGGAACTCCATGTCCACCTAGACGGAGCCATCAAGCCTGAAACCATCTTATACTATGGCAAGTAAGTCGATAAGTTAGAGTCTTCTTCCCCAGGATTTAGGTGGTATCCCCAAGCCTCTAGAAAATTCCAGGTTTACTACTCCTGTTTCCCTGTGGGAATCAAGCCAGCTCCTGGCTAGACAAAGGTGGTTCTGTGGGGATGAGGAGACGTCAGCTCAGAGCTGGAGACCCACAGCCCAACTCCTCTGCCTTCAGATCCTGTGTTGGCACTTGTCTTCCTGCTGTCAGGTGGGCTAGGCCTGAGCTTACTTCCTCTGCCTCTACACACGCATGCATGCACACACACACACACACACACACGTGCACACACACACGTGTGCACACACACATAAACACACATATACACACGTGCGCACACATACGCACACACGTACACGCACACATACACACACATATATACATATAGATACACACACACACACACCCCTAGGCACGATGGTAGTTCCCAGAGCTGAGCCAGGCACTGGATTCTGACTCGGTGAGAGCCTGTGGCAGGTGACACACAGGATGCCGGCTACCATTTACTGAGCACACTTAACCCCACCACAACACAAAGAGGAGGGTATTGCCATTTCCATTTTACGGAGAAGGACATGGGCTCAGAGAAGTGAAGACAGTTGTCCAAGGCCACTCAAGTAGGTAGTAGAACCAAGAGTTGAACCTGGGGCTGTCTGACCCCCAAAGCTTTTACTACATCTTCGTGGTAATGACTACTGGGTGACATGCAGAAGTGGCTCCCCCATCCTTGGTCTAAATGTCTGCATCTTTCGAATGAGAACACACCTCCTGCCTCAGCTCTCACTCCATGCTGGTGGCCAAAGGGGTCCCCAGCTCCCCCAAGCGAGGGGGGTTGGTCCCCTTCCTCCCTAGACTTCAGGGTTCATAGCACTTAAGAACAGGGACTTTAGAGTGCAGTGGACCTGGGTTCAAATCCGGACTGTACCGTGTCCTCGCTGTGACTGTGGCCTCTGTAACTTGAGGGTGAGAACAAGGCCTTCCACCAGAGCTGGCTGGGAGGTGGGGGCCCTCCTGCCACACCCCTGCCCCCAGCAGACCAGTGTCCTTCACTTGTTTGCTCAACATCTACTTTGGAGCTGGAAGGATTCAGCTTCTCCTTCATTGTCATGAGCAGTTCAGCTCTGGACTCAAATGTGAACACTCTGCTCCATAAACCAGAATCTCCTCAGTTATCCAGACACCCGCTCCTCAGAAGAGAGTTAGGCATTCCAATCAGAGCCACAATAGATGAACCCTGATAGAATGGGAGAAAAATGTGGAAAGGAATTCCTTAAAATATAAAATTCCTTAAAAAATAAAAAACAGACTTACTGGACTAGTTGAGACTGGAGGACTGCCCAAGACTGTTGCCCTGAGATTCTCCTTAAATCTTGAACCAAAACTAGCCCCCGAGGTCACCTTTTAGCTAAATAACAGACTGGCTCACCCATGAGTACTGTGCTCCTTAAAAAAAATCATCTATATGAGATCAAACGCTCAAGAATTACTTTAAAACGAAGATAACAATGGAAGGTGGCAAGGAAACTAGATTAATGGAAACAGAACAACCAGAACGGAAATAATGAGATTGTTCATGCATTGAGAAGAATGTAACTAATGTCACTGAACAACATGTATAGAAATTGCTGAATGGGAACCTAAACTTCTATGTAAACCTTCACTGAAAAAACAGTAGAATATTACATAAAAAAAAGAGAGAATAGGGATTTTTGGATGTTTGCCCCCGACTCTTGGGAACATCCTTTTCAACTCCCTGAGAGAGTTCTGGCAAATACTTTTCTCCATCTTGTCATACTTCTAATGACCTTTTTATGCCCTAGGAAGCAGCTGTTGATTTAATTTTTATTTAACTATACAAGTATTAGCATTTACTGTGTGCTAAGCACCATATTTAGCAGAAATACCACAAGTGGATGGCTTTAATAAAGAGAAATTTATTCTCTCACAGTCTAGGAAGCTAGAAGTCTGAATTCAGGGCACCAGCTCCAGGGGAAGACTTTCTCTCTCTGTCAGCTTGGAGGAAGGTCCTTGTCATCAATCTTCCCCTGGTCTAGGAGCTTTTCAGCTCAGGGATCCCAGGTCCAAAGGACGCACACTCCTGGCTCTGCTTTCTAGGTGGTATGAGGTCCCCACGTCTCTCTGCTTCCTTCTCTTATATCTCACAAGAGATTGGTTTAGGACACAACCTAATCTTGAAGATTGAGTCCTGCCTCCTTAACATAAGTGCATCTAATCCTGCCTCATTAACATCATAGAGGTAGGATTTACAACACATAGGAAAATCCTGTCAGCTGACAGAATGGTGGACAATCACACAATACTGGGAATCATGGCCTAGTCAAGTTGACAGATATTTGGGGGGGACACAATTCAATCCATGACAGGTAGGTACTATTATTACCCCCATTTTACAGATGAGGAAACGGAGCCATAGACAAGTCAAGTACCTTGCTTAGTAAGCAGAGGGCCGAGTCTGGAACCCAGGTAGTATGGCTCCAGAGTCCCTGCCTCTAACCATTTCACCTGCCAGCTAGAGGTTTCAGTCACGTAATATACAAAAAGCTGAGCTCAGGGCCTAGCTCTGATGACATGCTCCATAAACGGCACTTAGTGACATTATTATTAAGTATAACATTAAGGCTCTGATTAAGTGAGGGCAAAGCCTCCTTGGCTTATCTATCTTGTCCTTTGCCCATGTTCAGCTGTCAATCACTGCTTCAGGGCCTCTACTGAGGTCATTAGGGTGGGTTATCAGGAACCAAGAGGGTGTCTAATCTCGGGGAGCTCGTGAAAGGGTCATAGAGCACTCACCAATGGGAGCAAGAAGGGGAAATGTCCAGGGTGAGGTGGAGTCCAGGGTGAGGTGGAGGGAAAAGGGGAAGGAGGGTGGTGTGGGGTGGCTCGGTTCATTTTCTGTTTGCCACGCTGCAGTGGCGTCTGGGAGCCAACTCACAGAGCCTGAGAGGGGTGAGGCAGTGCCAGCTGGGGCTTGATCTCTGGGTCAGCAGCCAGGGGCACCTGGGAGTTGGTTGGACCCAGATGTGGGTGCCTGTGAAGACACGCCGGAGGACTCCCACATGGGGTGTAGGGCCTGCCAGAGTAGGGAGGGGAGGGAGTGCCTGCTTGGCCCCGCTGCAGACCACATCTAATCTCTCCTTCTGTCTCTCTGGGATTCAGCCCGCCCCAGTTAACTGTGTTCTCGACCCCTTCTCCTTCCTTCAGCTCCCGTGATTGTGCCTCTGGGTTTTGGAGTCTCCTGCTTCGCACAACCTGTAAATAGTCTCATTTGTTCCTCTTTGTACCCCTCAAAGAAAGTATTATCTGCATTTTACTGATGAGGACACTAAGGTGCTTTAGAGGGGACATCTGCCCAGGGTGACATGGTAAAGAAAGGGGAGAGGAGGAATTCAAGGCTTTCTCTGCCCGACTCAAAGCCTGAGCTGGTCCTCCCTCCTCAGCCCTCTGAGGTCGAGCTCCTTGTCGGGGGCTGTCGACTGGACACTCCGCCAGCAGGGTCTGTGGTGAAGTGGGGAATGGGACTGTCTGAGGACAGAGCTTGGCCCATGAGGAGCCTCCACTTCTGTGGGTGGCAGGTGGAGCCGGGGCCCAGAAGCAATTCCTTCCGGCCACAGCTTTGGGCCCCAGATAGGAGCTTTATGGCTCAGCCTGCACAGTTTTGGGGACGAGTCCTGTGTGAGAGGTTGGAGGGGTCTCCCATGTTCTTTGTTGCCCCTTGGACGTGAGCGCTGTCCTGTGTTCTGATTTCCTCCAATCCTTTCCCTGTGCTGTAGCCAGAAGCTTTTCAACAGGTAAATCATTTCATGCCACTCCCCTGCTTAAGATCCTTCCATGGCTTTCCCAGTGCTTCCAGGATACAGTCCCAGCCGCTACCACACTGAGTCTGGCCTGCATTCCTCTCTGTCTCATCTTTCCAGTGACCGCTTGCTCTCTGAACTCCAGCTACCTTACCTTTCCCCCACCTCCCTGCTTCCTTCCTGAAGCCCTCAGCACAGGCTGTGAGGCCTCATCCCTCACCCGCCTCCTCTCTCCCATCTACCCCACTACTTCAGTGTCCCCTCCTCCAAGAAGCCTTCCCTGGCCACTCTGTCTAAATTGTTAAAAAGATCTCTCTTGGTGGCTGTTGGGGAGGGTGCCAGAGAAGAAGAGATTCATTTGAGAAATATTTAGGAAGCAAAATAATTAGGACTTGGGGATTGGCTCTGGGTGGAGGAGGGGGATGGAGGAGGTGGGAGGTTTGGCCAGCAGACTGGACACAGGAACCATTTTTGGAAATGCGGAGGCTGGGAGGAGGAGAGATTTGGGGGAAGGGGAAAGGTGGCTTTAGTTTTGGCCGTGAAGGGTAGGAGGCACCTGCGCCACGTTCAGGGCCGTCAGACGCTCGGCCTGTCTTGGTTGCTGCCACTGCTCAGTGTCAGCCCAACATAGGCCCCAAAGGATGGTGTGTAGAGGTGGAGAACCGGAAGGTGAGGACCGCTGGATCCTGGGTTAAAACCGTGAAAGGAGCTGAGCTCATCTGGGCAGAGTCTGAAAGAGAGGGGTCTGAAGGAAGAGCCCCACCAGGAAGCTGTGGGGTCCTGGGAGTTGAAGGAAGACCATCAGCAGAATCACTCAGAGCCAGTCCCGTGGGCCCAAAGCAGATGTGGCCACTGAACATGGCAATACAGGAGCCAGAAGCCTGAGCGTCACCTCCCCTGCCTGCCACCTGCCAGCTCCCTCATGATATCCACAACCCGGTAATTCACAAGTGGTGCAGTCTGCAGAAGGGAGTCCCTGGGGGTGCGGACGGTAAACCACGCTTGGCTGCTAAATGAAAAAGTTATAGAGTTTGCGTCCACCCAGAGGCACCTTAGAAGAAAGGCCTGGTAATCTACTTCCGAAAAAGCAGCCATTGAACACCCTGCGGAGCACAGCGTTCGCCATGAGTAGCAGTTGACTCTAGGACAGCTGGTTTTACCGTCTGCAGAGGCCACGGTTCCTGGGGTGGCTGCATGAGGGTGACTCTGGGAGGCTTAGTCAGGGACAGGGGCTCAGGTGGACACAGGGCCTCTGACCTCTGGATGACAGGAGTGCAGCAGGGGCTCCATCTCCCCACAGTGTGGAGGCTGGCAAGGGGCCACGCATAGTGGGCTGACTGGCAGGCTGGTGGACACTCACAGGGCCTGGGGTCACCAGGCAGGGAAGGAGGCGTGCTCAGAGGGCTTTGTGGAGCAGATGTCTATGTAGGGGAACGTTTTAATAGTTTTAATAACAGAGGCTCTTGAAGGGCTTAAACACATTTGATCAAACTCCTGTCTGGCATTTCCTCCCCTCTGCTTTCTGTTCTCACTTTGAGCCCTAACTGGCTGGTTGAACCTCCTAATTTAATCTTCTAATTTCCTTAACCTTTTGTTCCCAATCTTCTACGTTCTGGAAGATTTTCTCAGCTTTATCTCCCATGCCTTTAATTGCATCCTGACTGTTGCTGCCATACACTCTTTAAAATTTCTAAGAGCCCTTTCTAATCTCTGAATGTATCCTTTTTCAAAAAAAAAGGCATCCTGGTTTTGCGTCAAGTATGTACTATCTTCTCATTTCCTTGAGGATATTAATTTTAGGTGTTTTCCTCTGCTTGTTTGTGCTTCAATGTTCCTTCCGTCTATTCTCTCGTTTTGGTCTCTGTCCCTCATGTTAGAAGTATTTCTTGAATGTCTGGCCTTCCTTGGCTGCTGTTCCTTTATCTTAAAACTGGGAAAATGGAGGCCCAGGGCGACGCCTTCAGTCGGGACAGAGCCAGAGAGTACAGGAGACAGGAGCTTGCTCCTGGTTCCCTTGGCTGGGAGGGGAGGCCGAGATGCTAATGGGGAAAAGGAAGCCGCAGGGATTGCCTGGACCAGCCCGTGCAGGGGTTGTGGGCAGGGAGGAGAGGGCTCCGAGCTGGAGGGCAGCTCAACGACATGTCGGGCCCTTTCCCAGCATGCTGGGATGACCTAGTCTCTCTGATCTGCCGGCCAGATTGAGGGCGGGAGGCAAGTCTGGGTGCTGCAGTTGTTCCCCTGACAACACCTGGCCTGGCACAGGACCAGCTGGCTCTACCCACCCGCTCCTGGGGCTGAGGAGGAAGTCACAGACTTGTCTCCTGGGCCCACCAGGATGAGTGTGTGTGTGCGTCTGTGTGTGTGTATGAACTTCAACCCGTTTATTCCCTTGAGATTTGCTGATTCGTCATTGTCTTGGGGTCAGGAGGTGCTAAAAGGGTTCAGTCCTGGTTCTATATGCCTCTGCCTCAGTTTTCCCATCTGTCCAATGGGAGGAGTTGGATGGAGAGATCTCATTTCCTGTCATGGTCCAAGTATGTTCCATGCTGCCTGGTCAAGCCCGCCCTGGACTCGTCCATTTCCTTCATTGTTTTTGTCCCCAGGAAGAGAGGGATCCCCCTCCCGGCTGACACAGTGGAGGAGCTGCAGAACATCATCGGCATGGACAAGCCGCTCGCCCTCACAGAATTCCTGGCCAAGTTTGACTACTACATGCCTGCTATCGCGTGAGTTGCCCTTAACCCCCAGGCCTTGAGGCAGCATCCATCCTTGTGGGCGTGAGAGGACCACGCCTGTGACCCGTCCTGTGGGGGTGGGAGGAGGCACTCTGAAACCTCAGCTCTGCTTCTCACAGTGGTGTGTACTTGAGCAAATCTCTTCACGCTTTTGGGCTTCAGTTTCCCTTCTTGAAAGTGGTGTGAAGGGCTGAAATTCCTTCTGCTTCTACAGAGAAGTGGCCAAGTACAAGGGCAGAGCACAGATGCTAACACAGGTAGTCCCTGACTTACAACAGGGCTCTGTTCTGAGGACCTTGTTGTAAGCTGGTTCTGACATAAGTCAAATACCTCTTTTTTTTTTCTTTTAGTTTTCATTATTATTGCCTTTTATTTTCAGTATCTCTATAAATCCAGTCTTTATTTGTCTTTGGGGGTTGGGAACATTACATAAAGCTTACAGATATATTTTAATCCATACATAAAAAGTACACAAATCATACAGATTTACTCCAGCGATGAAGAAGAGTTGGACAATGTTGGCATTTGGTCTGTTGCAGTAATAACTCCACTTGTGGAAGGTTCTGGATCCATCTGGAGTACCGTAGGAATGGGGATGGTGTTTCTAGTCAGAAAATTCGTGAGAGTTGTCTGTATGGTCCTTTTTTTTTCTTTTCTTCATAAACTTCAAGGTAACATCTCACTGCTTCCCGAACCTGCCTATTGACTTTAGCAAAGCGATCAGCGTTTGCGTCCCTGTTTTCAAGTAACTGAAGCCCCTGATTTAGTTTAGAAAACTAAATCTATATGTCATAAAATTGAACATCTGTGAGTGAACATCTGCGAATGATAACACCGGCAAATTACCTGCTGCAATACTGTATGTAACACATATCACTAACGATAAGCTGTACCGACACAACAACAAAAACGGGTGGTCGGAAGTGTGGTTCGTCAGACCTCGAATACATCCTAAGTCAGGGACTACCTGTACTCAGGCTTTGAGGACAAGGATGGACAGATGCTGCCAAGGCCTCTCCCACCCCAGCACAGCAGGTGTGGAAAGCCCTGGGGCAGGGGTGGAGCCAGGGCCTGTTTCCTGGAACTCAGCCCTGCCACAGTGAGCTGGGCCTTTTGGGGAGAAGGGTACCTCTGCTTTCCAGACACCTGCCTGCCCGATCTCCGCCACAGCCAATGCCCACTAATAACAGCCGCTAAAATACTTGGAGCACTTGTCTACACTGTTCCAGGCCCTGGCCTAAGTGCTTGAGGTTTAACCGGGCTGGTCCTCACAGTAATCCTTTGTTGTAGGTATCAGAGAGGGGGATTAACTAGGCCAGGGCCACACGGCAGGCAAATGTGGGAAGCAGGCCTCAGTCCATAACTGAGTCCCAGTGTCTCTCCCACCCCAGAGCTCTTCTGGATTTGTCCGTCTGTCCTTTTATCTTGTTCTGTTCCCTGCCAGCCACCATCCATCGCTCAACAAATACTTGAGTGGCCACTATTACCTAGGCTTTGTCCTCAGCTGAGCACAGAGGTCGATGAACGAGTCCCTGCCCTTCTGAAGCCTACATTCTAGTAGATGAGACAGAAAATCAGCTAATGGAGAAACATACAATATATAATGCCAAGTGGAGATAAGGGCTATGAAGAAAAATCAAGCTCAGGGGAGGGGTAGGGAATGGCGGAGGTGCTGTTTTAAGGGAAGGTGATCAGGGAAGGCCTCTCTGAGGAGGTGACTCTGGAGCTGAGATCTAAATGGAGGGAGGGATGGAGTGTAGAAGATCTGGGGGAAGAGCCTGCAGCAGAGGGAGCTGCAAAGGCCCTACTGTGAGAATGAGCTTGTGTGATCCTTGGACAGAAAGCAGGCTCTGGTGGCTTCATGGAGGGGAAGAGGCTGAGGAGGTTGGCAGGGGTGGACACGCAGGCCTTGGGGCCGGGGATGTGCAATGGGATTTCATGCGGAGGGATGCCATTAGCTTTAGAGTAGAGGAGCAAGATGCTTTGATTTGTATTTTTAAAAGATGGTGCCGGTCACCGTGTGAAGAGTTACAGGGGCAGGCATAGAGGCAGGGAGGCCAATTAGAGAGAGGAGGTGGTTCAAACACGGGTGGAGAGGGTGACAATTGGAACGTAGTTTGGAAATCAAGTTGACGGGACTTGCCGTGTGTCTGGGGTCTTACCAAGCAGATGCCCAGAGCTGGGGGCTAGGGTCATAGATGGGTTTGATCTGCTGAGGGCTGGGAACAGCCTCGTTGCTCCTGGAGCTCCCAGGCAACCTGGGCAAAGATTGTCCCCAACACCTTTCTTCCCTTCCCAGGGGCTGCCGGGAGGCCATCAAAAGGATTGCCTATGAGTTTGTCCAGATGAAGGCCAAGGAGGGCGTGGTGTACGTGGAGGTGCGCTACAGCCCACACCTGCTGGCCAACTCCAAAGTGAAGCCCATCGCCTGGAACCAGCCTGAGTGAGTGACCGCCCGGGAGGGGCTGTGCTGAGGATGTGGTGGTGGCCCTACCCTGAGACCCACCCCAGGGCCAGACTGGCAGGCATCCCTGTCCAAGACTTTGATTTGGCCCCTGATCTGGTCCATGGCTTCAGAAGGATGGGGTTTAATTCTGTCCAGAGACATGGTTCTCATGCCCCACCCTGGGTTTATGCTTTGACTTTGGGCTTATGCTTTGACCTTGGGCTTATGCTTTGACCTTGGGTGAAAGCTTTCTGCCGTATCCTGCACCCTGCCCTGTGGGGGCCTAGCTCTGGAGACAGGCCCGTGGCCTGGGGATGTTAACCCACTTACCCAGTGCTTTTCAGGGGCCCTGCTCTAACCCTGTCACTGATATGGGTCTGACCCACACCTGCCCCTTCTTGGATCCCATGGGTCTCCAGGTGCTGTCACTCAACCACCTTGTCCCCTTCTTAGCCATGATTCTGATGCCTGTGGACAAGTAGGGGATCCCTAGGGCCCTGAAGGGGGATCAGACCACACCAAAGCTTAGCAGTACTCCCCACCTGGGGGTGGGGTCACCCACTGGGATATCCCTCCCTGGGTCTGGAGGTGCCCAGGCAGCTGGAAGGGGTGTGTGCTGGGGCTTGGGGCCCTCTCTCTCTCCCTTTCCCCTTCCTTCTTCCCCTTTTTGTCTTTTCCC